GTTTGGTTGAAGGGATTTTAAATTTCTTTCCCACTTAATTCGCACTTAATTCCAAAGGCCACAAAGTTTCTTTGTTTGGTTGAAAGGAATTGCAATTCCCCCATTTTCATGTAATTAAAATCCCATGTCCCCCTCCCTTTTTTAACCTAAAATTAATGTTTGACAACAACAATGGATATTTTGGACTTTATACTACTTATTCTCTTTCAATTCCCCTGTATACCAAACATTTGAATTGAAATTCCCAGTAATTATATTCCTGTCAACCAAACATTGGAATTTAAATTCCCACTTTATTCCCAGTAATTCATCTCCCATGGAATTGCAAATCCTTTCCCACGTAATTCCCCCTCTCCAACCAAACGCCCTGTTAAAGTTATTTCACACAATATGTTTTGAGTGAAATAGCCCACTAAAAAAAAGGAGAGAATAATAGCTAATCGACCGACTAAGCGACCTAATTGGTGCGTAGAAGGCGTAGTTATAGGTGGTGCTTATGCGGCTAATTAGTTGCCTAGACCACCTATTATGGTGATATGTTAGGCGGCCCGCCAGCACTTAGCGCTGATTAATTGGTCCCTAGGTGAGTCTTTTGCAACATTAGATCAGATTAGAGAGTATGTTTTTACCTAGGCAACCGGGATGGAGATATGGATTGCCTTCATAACCCTTGTCACAAGCGCATCTGTATCCATTATCAGGACCTTCAAAAGGGACACATGTGGTGTTACCTTGGCATGTGCTGCTAGAGTTACTGCACGTATTGTTGAAGATGACCCAGTCAACTACCATTGGCGTTCTCGTGACTTGCCATTCTTGGGTAAGCATATCTATGGAGAAGTTGAACTCATCCTTTTTCACCACAAACGCGGAGCTACAATCAGTAATATCGCCATCTGGCTTCTTCGCCATGGTCTTCAATGTAAAATTCAGGTTCCTGGTCACGATAGGAATGTTATTCATCTGGCAACACCCCATTCCCGAGCAAGTGCCATTCCGCACATCTTGCAAGCGGTTACAGGTGGCTTTACAACCAGTTTGGTACAACCATCCATTGTCTTCTCCGTGGACATTGGCAGTAGTGTTGCAGCCGACCGCGACGAACTTATTGGCGGTCTGGTTGATGTAGAATTTTGCTAGTGTGATCTGTGACCAGGCGGATGAGTCAGCTCCATAGCAAGTTTGAGCAATGACCATCATGATGATCAACTGCCCTTCAACTGATATCGTTCTTACCGGTATATTACCGCGCCCTAAAAAAGGTTGAGGAGGATCATAGGTGGTATTGCAATTGATGAAGAAGCCTGAGTTAAGAAAACAACCTTTGGTCAAACCAAAGGGAAATGGGATGCTTACGTTCCCACAACGATCATCACAGTTGGGTTTGGCTATGGGATAATCACTTTTTGATGTGGAAGTAGAAGCAAAACTTAGTACTGCCGACAACACAACAACTACTACAAGGAAGCTCATGTTGTTCGACAACACCACAAACGTTTGGTCTGTGTTGGATGTGTAATAACTTGGTTTACAGCTACTATATATGCAATTCCTTGCACTACTCTTGAGGGAATACAAACCAAAGACCAAGTCACCTACACATAGTCCAAACAACACGTTAGGAGACTTTTCTTCCCGTTACATTCTACTAATATGCATTCCCAAATTCTAATATATCACTTTTACTTCGCGATGTGACAAACAAGAATAGTTTATTTTTTCAAAATGCGTGAATCCCTTATAGGTACCGACATCTGGCTCTGTCTGTTAAGCCATTAAGTCACGTGATTTACATCCTGCCAAATGTCCCTGTCGGATCGGGGTGTTGAGCTCTGGGGATTGGCGATTCAACCTTGTGGAGAATGATAGACTATTTTTATCATGTTGGCCCCAGAGAAACGCGTTCATAAAATTCGATGATAACATAGAAAATGAGAGTCTACATAAAATTTTTCATTTTCTTCTTCCTTCAAGTTTTATTTAAGATAACCACATGCACACCATCAAATAATGAATATAGATTTCCTTCATTACCCAAAAATATAATATTACATATATTAAATAGTCACATCTTGAATAAATAATTTATACTCCGTATTAACAAGCTACTCCAAAATGCACTAGCTACTCGAAATATCTCTCATATGAGTGTGGACTGGGAGTCAATGTATATCGTCTAAGACAATCATATCCAAATGCAATTTTCCCCTATTTCTACTTTTAAAACTGAATCATACTGTTATATTACTAAATTTATAATGAGTGAATTCCATTTTTGGTCCTATTGTTATAGGGCCGTTTCCAATTTTAGTCCACCTTAATTTTTTTTGCCACTTTATAACCACTATTATTGAATGTGTTCCACTTTTAGTCCCACCGTTAGTATTTCTATCAAGAGGCCATATAATCTAGGGGTATTTTGACCTTTCTTCTCATCCAAGACTATGTTTGACTAAAGAAATGAGAACATTAAACCTAAAACCTAAGAAACCTCGCCGGCCTATGTTGGAACGAACGACACGATGTAACTTTGGCTTCCCATCTCGTTGTTCGAAGAGCCATCTTCGAATATCGGAGGAGGAGGACAAAGCGCCTGGATTAAAGGATAAGAGACAAACATAAAAAGACCAAAATACACTTTGATTATACGGCCTCTTGACGGAGATATTAACGGTGGATTAAAAGTGGAACACATTCAATAACAGTGGTTGTAAAGTGGCAAAAAAATTAAAGTGGACTAAAATTGAAAACGCCCCTATAACACTAGGACCAAAAATGGAATTCACTCATTTATAATTCATCACTATTCACGTTATATTCAAGCAATTTTAACTTATCTTCAAACGTGGTTCACTGTCACATTACTAAAAAAAAAAAACTTATTTTAATAATAATATTAATAAAACAAAAAAAAAAAAAAAAAAAAAAAAAAAAGCACAAAGAGGCCATCTGCGTAGGATTTGCATGCAAGTTATTATTATTATTAATTTTTTTTTTTTTAAGTTTCAATTTTTGTAATCTTTTAAAGTAAATCTGATCATGTAGAGGTGGGTTTTTTTTTTTTTTTTTTTTTTTTTTTTTTTTTTGTAGTGGATGGAGACTAAAGTTCAATCTTTTCAACGAAGGTATGGCAAAATAATTAAGATATAACATGATGACATACTTTCTTCTCACGACATATAAATCGAATGTTCAACGCGCGGGGTCAACGTCGTCTTGTGCTTTACTCGTTTAAGTCTCCTTAGCTCCAAGGACCACAACTTATTGTATGAAGGAGTGACCCTCACTGCACGGCATGCATGGCCTCTTTTGGGTCTACTTTGTATTTTAGATTCTAGTTCAAAAATAACATTCACATTCTATATCTATAATTGACACATTCTATATCTGTAGTCACGTTCTGTATCTGTAGTTGATAGTTTTTGTACCTGTAGCTATCATATTATGTGTCAGTAATTATCAACTTATTTGTTTATCTGTACAAAAATTATTAATTATAAGTACAAAATGCCCCAACGGAAGGTTCAAAATTTTTATATCAGGGTTCACAATTCATATGAACCCTAATCCATGGTATAACAATTGTAAGGTTGAAATCAAAAGATTAATTTGGGTCGATCATTGTTAATTGGGGACATAAAATGAGATGAAGAAAATATAAGTATACCGTCTTTGTTAATTTTAAAATATTAGAATTAGTTACAATTGATTGTTGTTGGTGTATAAGAAGATTAAGTGATTGAATTCACTCAAGAGTGGAAATAACAAAAATTTACAATATCAATCAACATCAGTACCCGATCATACATGATATCATTAATTCATTATATATAACCATACATAATTATTTTATGTATTATTGATTGTAATTTTTAATGATACTTTATGTTACGATTGACATTACCATCAATCGATACTTTATAATTTTTCATATAGCATAAAATATACTCCGTATACAATAATAACCTTGCTAGTTAATTACTCTGATCTTTTATCAAATAAAAGTTGTCAATTATTTTGTTAGCAACAATTTTTTTTACATAATTAACTGATATTCGCTTAACTAATTAACTTAATATTCCAAAGTTTGAGGGATAAGGATGAAACTCAAAATCTAGAATTAAAGAATCAATATTAACATTATATTAGTTTTTCCAAGTTCAAAACTAATCTTTTGAATTAGCAAATATATATCCTAAAAGTGTAAATAAATAAAGAAAATTGCCAAATAGGCTCTCGAACTTTACCTAAAAAGTCAATTAGGCACCTACACTTTTTAAAGTTGCAATTAAACCTATCAATAATTCATTTTGGTACAATAAAGTCCAAAAATAAATTACTGACCTGATATTACATTTCACTAGGGTTCCAATCAATATTCCAACAACCTCCGACTAACTTCGATGATATTTCCAGCAACAAATCGACCGACGACCGTAGAACGGTCGACGGTCAGTTTTGAATTAACAAAGAAGGCAACTGGGTTGCTTTTTTCAGTGAAGTAGGGGTGGGAGAGCTAACCACCCAAGTACCTCCGCCCCTGAATGCATGCACTTATAATATAAGTAAAAAATTCAATAAAATACAATCAAAATTGAAGTTCAAAAGCTAAAATAATACAGAATTCAATTAAAGAAGATCCAACATAATATTAAATTTGAAATACATTAATTATTCTAATTTTTATCACAAGAATAATAGAAAGATTAGAAACAAATCATCATATACATTATTCCCAGATTGAGCATATAGCTAATTTGCTGAAATGAAGGGGTTGCAATTATCTTCCGACAGCGGCGGGAAACTCCATATGGTAGTATGGTTCATACAGTTATGTGAACCATGATCCGCACAATAATGATTGCACAAATAATCATATATTTTATTTACACAACATCTAATAGTGAGTGTAAATTTTCCTCGTCAAAAAAAAAAAAAAAAAAGAAAAAAAAGAAGAAGAAACCAGCTAATTTATTGAGATGAAATAGCTATAGTTACAATTATCTTCCAGCAGCTAGTGGAAACTCCATATCATCTTTTATGCTATCATATCCAGTTGTTGATACACTAAAATTAAGATCATATCCCAAGGGAATTGATGACTCCATAACTAAAGCCTGTGATTCCATGGAAGTCGATGAATTATTAGCCCAGGGATGTTTTACTGCTCTCCTCAATCCACTTAGTTCCATTGCTACTTCCTTCATCGTCGGCCTATCCTCCCCCTTGAAATTCAAACACCTTTTTGCAAGTAAGGCAACCTCTTGCAACTCCTTAGTAGTGTTTCCTTCGCATAAAATGTTGCCATCAAGAATCTTGAACAACTGATTTCCTTTCAACAATGAAAGAAAATGTTGAGAGATATTTCTCTCTAATTCTGGGCCGTCAAAGGATATCGCCCTCTTACTCGTTAGCAATTCCATGAGGACAACTCCAAAGCTGTAAACATCGCTCTTTTCTGTCAAATGATGGATTTGCATGTACTCGGGATCTAGATAACCAAATGTTCCTTGCACCATTGTTGTCAGTTGAGTTTGATCTTGAGGGACTAATCTCGACGCACCGAAATCAGATACCTTGGCAATATAATCGTTATCGAGAAGAATATTCACATATTTAACATCTCTGTGGATGATGGAAGGAGAGGCCGCAGAGTGCAAATAAGAGAGTACCTCAGCTGTTTCAGTAGCTATTCTTAAACGAGTTGACCAAGGTAGAGCCGATGTTTTGTCTTTGTTGTGGATATGCTCTAACAACGTTCCATTATTTATGAACTCATAAACTAGCAATGGAACTTCAAACCCGATAATTTCACCGTGCATTACCACGAGTAAGGATCTGCGTCGGCTAAGTGCATCAGCTACGCGGTTGGTTGCTCTTGATTTATGCTTGAGAAGGAAGGTAAATTGCTCAAGATAAGCCGCCCAACGAGCATGCATTTTGTTGAGATGCTTCTGGCTCTGAAAATATTTTAATGCTTCATGATCTGAGTAGATTATAAACTCTCCTGGTCTGAGGTAATGAGCCCAAACATGCAGTGCCCGTATAACTGCATAAAGCTCTTGTTCATATGTAGACCAATTTTCTCGTGCAGCACTCAATCACTCACTAAAGAAAGTAATAGGTCGACGATTTTGAGATAGTACTGCCCCAATACCAAGTCCACTGGCATCACACTCCAATTCAAAAGGTTTTGAAAAATCCGGGAGAGCCAGGACAGGTGCTGTGGTGAGTTTTTTCTTGAGTTCAGTGAAACTCTGCTCAGCTTTCTCCCCCCAACGAAAACCACCCTTGCGAAGGCAATCAGAAATAGGAGCAGCAATAGTACTGTAATTTTGTATAAACCTTCTGTAGAATGAAGCTAGACCGAGGAAACTTCTAACTTCACTTACTGACCGAGGTCTAGGCCAGTCTCGTATCACTTGGACTTTCTCATCATCTACATGAACTCCTTCTGCACTGATTACGAATCCAAGGAAAACCAACCTTTTTGTCATGAAAGAGCATTTTTTTAGGTTGATGTACAACTTATTTTCACGCAGGACTTGCAGGGTAATGCGTAGGTGCTCCTTATGCTCCACTTGATCTTGGCTTTGCACCATGGAGTTGGTCTAGCATGTGTTCAAGCCTTGGGATTGGAAAATGATATTTCACTGTGATTTTGTTAATGGCTCGGCTATCCACGCACATCCTCAAACTTCCATCTTTTTTTGGGGTAAGCAAAGCGGGAACGGAACATGGACTGATACTTTCTTGAATTTGTCCCTTCCGTAACAATTCCTTCACTATGTTATTGAGAGCTTCACTTTCAGCCGGGTTCATGCAGTAATGAAGAAGTTTGGATAAGCTAGCTCCAGGGATCAGATCAATCTGGTGTTGTATGTGGCGCAAAGGGGGCAAACCATCTGGGAGCTCATCTGGCATTATATCTTCAAATTCCTTCAACAAAGATTGAAGCTCACCTGGTATACAATCAATAACTGGCCCACTGTCTTTTGTTATCAAAACTAAGACACTGCATGTATCCTTGCTTCCTCCACAAAATTTCTCCATCTATCCAGAATGGTTATAACACAAGTTTTTTGTGTTGGTGACTTGGCCCAAACAACTGGAGGGATGATAATCTTTTTCTGATTCCAAAAAAATTCATAAGTATTTAATTTTCCTCAATGGGTAGCATCCACATCATATTGCCAAGTCTTACCCAGAAGGATATGGCAATCATCCATATCAATGACTTCGCACACCACATAATCTTCATAGCTTTTCCCGATTGAGATTGGGACAACACTTTTGACACAGTAACAGAAGGGCCCTCCCTAATCCATCCCAACTTATATGGTTTTGGATGCGGTTGGGTTGGGAGGTTAAGATGTTCCACAAGGGTCTGAGATATGATATTATCACAACTCCCATTGTCGATGATGAGTTTGCAGACTTTACTGAGCACGGTATAATACGTCCGGAAAATGTTGTTTCGCTGAACAGGAATCTTTTCTTCAATAGTGTACAAGAGTCGGCGAACCACAAAGCTAACATGCTCTCCATCTTCTTTTGCAACTTCAACATTCTCCTCAATAAATTCCTCATCACCTCATTCCCCTGTTCCACCATCTATCAAGTTTACAGTTTTTCGAGCTCTACACTCATTTGACCGATGACCGGGTTCACCACACTTAAAACATTTACCGGTCATTGGTCTGGCGTATAGATTTGAGATAGATTTTTGTGCAGGAACATTATTACCTTATTTTTGTTGCTGGTTCTTTGAGCTGCCTATGTCACTAGCCAAGTTCTTTGAGCTGCCTATGTCACTAGCCAACACAGGTCGAGATGATGGGGTAGCAGCTTGAATAGGATTAACGTCATGTGATTGGGTCGTCATTAGCTTTGGTGTGGAATATATTCTTCTCTGATTGGATTGCGTGAGAAGGTCCTCTGCTCGGACGGCCATATTATATGCCTCATCAACAGACCAAATAGGAGTGAGCGACATCTTTTCTCGAATATTAAATCTTAACCCGTTAATGAATCGGGCAGTCTGTTGCTCAGGTGTTTCAAACAAATTGCAGCGCGCCCCTAATCGATAAAATTCCTCTGTGTATTCACTCGCACTTCAAGATCCTTGAGAACACCTTTGATATTTTTGGAACAGCTGTTGTTGATAATCTGGTGGTAAAAATCTTGCATTCATAAGCCTTTTCGTTTTTCTCAATGAAGTAATGAGTCTCTTTCCTTGCCTTCTCCTATTGTTCTGCGTGACCTCCCACCATGCTGCTGCTGTAACACCCCGAAATTTTAAAACTTTTGAAGCTTATGTAATAAAGGTAGAATCTCATTAAATCCCAAAACACAATACAAAGAGTACGGGGTGCTATGCCACACCTGAGCTGGAGAACTCAGGTGCACAGGCTAACTAGCTAATATCCTTAACAAAGAAAATGCATAACGTGGCACGCAGGCCAAAAGGAAACTATCTACTTCTATGCTCCGAGGTTCTAGCGCGCACCCGTGCTTACTCTTCTGTGCCTGAAAGCCAAATATATCTGTTCAGCGAGAGATGCTGGTAACCCACTCCAACGCGTTGAAATACAATACATATAGATATATACATAGATATACGAAAAGTCATTTCGAAGCATGAAGATATATCCTAAGGGACTCTAGCTTTCAAATCAGGGAACCGACTCAACAAATAGGGGTACACACAATCAACAGTCATAATCAAGCATATATAATTCTCAACCTAGGGCACAGTTATAGACAAGCACAATCAATAATCACAATTAGGCATGTATAGTTTACTAGCAAGAGTCCTATGGTCACGTTTCCATAACCGCCATAACATCAATCCTTCTCATCTCATCACATAGCACACTTTGTTGGCGCCACAGGACCAATCGCATGCCCATACATGAGGGTCAGCGCGTATAGCTCTGACACGGCCCCGCAGCACCCTGCCCCGTATCGCAACACGGAGGGGTTGATCGCAACCGACCGATGAACCGCAGCTCATCATAGTTTGATCGCAACCAAACAGTGGACCGCAGCCCAAGAGTATGTCATCTGACCGCTGCCAGGAAATATGAACCGCAGCTCATGTAGAAACGTTTGATCGCAACCAAACGGTGGACCGCAGCCCTATATAATATTTATATACCTGACCGATCGCAACCGGCCTGGTTAACAGTTAGTATGGTTCTCAACCCATCCAACTGCCCGTATAGCCAATTTGATTGCAACCAAATTGGGGCATCATGCACACATAACACATAACAAGCACATGCAACCCACATTAACACATTGGGAAGGGGGAGAAATCGTATAAAGAAACCTATGCGTGGTCATCCACAACTAAGAATAGTCCTAAGGGGTTCATACTTCTTTCACCTAGGCCAACGGGATACCAATTCAACTAGCATGCAATATACAATACTCTTTCATCCTACGAATGGTATCCGAACATCAAACTAGACATAGGCACGATGGGAGGGTTCCGTTGGGACACCACGGGGGTCGGGGGAACATCAAACGGGGAAGCCAAAATCCCGGGTTGGGGTGATTTCCAGAGGGTAGCCGGTGGGTGAGGGTTCACCCGCCGGCTGCCCGCCGGCGTTTACTATTCCGGGTAGCGGGTGCCCGGCGGGCAGCTGCCCGCCCGCCGGCTGCCCGCTGCCGGAACTGCCCATCTTGGCCGCGGGTAGGTGGCGGGTCCCCTACCCCCCACTGACTCTTTTTCACCAAAAACGCCTCGGGAACCTTTGTGGAACCCGAAACCATGCTTAGACACTTTCAAACGCAATTGACAACAATACGTGGACAATTAACGGATCACAAACAATAAACATGCGGCACATATCCTATCATGCTTTTCTAAACATAATTAACACCCAAACATGTGAATTCCCACCCAATACACCAAGAATAATACCACACGAATTTCACGATACAACCTAGGGTTCTAATCACTTTTAATTTAACAAGAACACAATTCATCCTTTAATATCAAGATTCGGTAGGAATATCACGTAATCATCAAGAACATCATACAATCATCAAGAACATCATATAATCATCAAGAACACCATCAAATCATCAAGAACCTCTCAAGATCATCAAGATCACCCATGGAATCACAATGCCAATTATCAAGATCAATATAACGAATCATCAATCACACATGAATATGGGGGAAATCCTAAGAGGGGATTCGTAGCTATGAAAATAGGTTTTGTTGAGACATGGGTTACCTCTTAGCCTTAATTGATTCCTTGGCTATGAAGGGTCTTTCTTTAAGCTTTCTTCTTTCTTGATTTCTCCTAGGGGAATTCTTGGTGTGGTGAGAGATTATTGTGGTGGGAGTTCTAGGTGCCTCCTTATGTTCCCTATTTATATATCTAAGAGTCTTACTTAGGGCCTAATTACTATAGGTTTGCTAACTCTATTCCTTTTAGGACTAAGGATTGGGTTTAGGGATAAGGGCCCATGGACTATGGTGGGCCTCTCCTAATTAATTATTGTGATTTGGTTCTTTCTTTTGGGTAATTGGTTAAATGATTAATTGGTTTTAGGGATCGTAACACGGGGTGTTACACTCTCCCCCCCTTACAAGGGGCTTCGTCCCCGAAGCCCGGTGTGTTAATCCATTCTTTCACCCCTAGGCATCCCGCATCTTGGCCTCCCGGTTAGGAATGTGGCCCCACGTTTTGCCTTAGCTGGGGTAAGCTGGACTTCTGGTGGTGTCGTGATAGGAAAGTTTTGGGTCTACCTTGGTCTCCTGCTCCTGAGCTGGACGCCCCGCGAGTGCCCAAGGTGGCCTCGATCGCTGCCACCCTCTGATCTAGTGCGCACGTCGTACGGATCAAGGATGAGAACCCTTCCTCCATGATTTGGTTTTGTCGGTTGAGTTGTGCGAGTATGCGCTCATTGATCGAGCCCTCGTTTTGCTCCCTTGGGTTCCCTCTTGATCGTGGGTGCAACGATGGGTCAGGCTCGTCATCCTCCTCCTGGTCCTCATTTCCCTCCAGGATTCCACAATCTTGCATTGCCCGTTTGAGCTTCTTGTTGGAGATGTCTAATTGGTCGACCAATTCTCTTCGTTCCTCCTCGGGTTTTTGGCAAATTTCTTCGAGGGTGAGGTAATGTCCCCCTTCGGTGTAGTAGATGTCGTTACAGCGGAGGTTTTGGGCGTTAAAGACCATGCCGTTTGCGGTCTTAACCTCGGTGTGGCTTAGATCTACCCCCTTCTTCTCCATGATCCAGCTTAGGATCATCCCGTAGGGTAGGCTAAGTCGGTTGTTTGTTTTGCAAAACTCCATGTGTTTTAGCATGAGTGCCGGTAGGTTGAACTTGACTTTATGTTTCAAGAGGTAGGCGAAGGCGCATTCTAAGCTCCCCACGTCCTTGCTCTTATTGTTTGTGGGCAAGAGGCTATCGGTTACAATCATAACCAATATCTTTTGCTCCGCCGATAGCCACTTCCTATTCGGTCGTGTGG